CCCTACGACTTCCGTTATAGTTTCTGTTATTACCAAACTACCAAATATTTTCCGTTATTACTGGAATGTTCGTTTTTTTATTTCATAACAAAAATTTTAAAAAATACCATTTTATCCTTTTTCGGTTTTTAAACAACCGAATTGGATAGATTTTCGATTATTCAACAACCGAAAATATGTCAATTTTGGTTGTTCAACAATCGAAAATAACTAATTTCGGTTTGGCGCTCAACAGTTGGCGTTCGAGCTTCGACCATGGTTATTCAGTTGTTCAAAAACCGAAATGAAGCTAATTTTGGTTTTTGAACAACCGAAAATAGACGAGTCTCATTTATACTTCTAGTTTCAATTTCTAGCGCTCCACCGGCCCACTTCTCGTCTCTTTTAATTTATTTCTCACTCTCTCTTACCTTTCTCACAAGAAAACATGTTATTTGGATTTGGATACAAGTTTTTTGACAGATTATAACTACATTTAACAGATTTTGAAAGCATTTGACAGATTTCAATTATGTAGTGAAGGTATTTATAAACTGATTTGTTGTTCGATTTTTAGAAGTTAACATTGTATAAGATTATGATTTAGGGTTTGAAACTTGAGTAGAATATGGCAATTTAAGGTGTATTTGATGGATTTCACGGTTCTATAAGTGACAATTTGTTTGAGTGATATTTGGGGTTTTTAAGAAGTGTAAATTTTTGGGGTTTTTAATAGCAAGGGTTATTGGGTTTTTAATAGGATGAGTTATTGAGTTATGTTTGTTTTTTAAATCAATTTAGCCCCAACCTAACTTTTCCTAGCAACTTCCCCCCAAAAAACCATGTTTCCCAGCAAATAGCCCCCAATACAAAAAGGTCATTTTTTTGATGAAAATACCCTTGCCTTACATAACAAATCATTTTCGCTGGAGAGGGCGGTCCAGTGTTTTATTGTGGCAGTCCAAGGATCATGTTATCCGACATTTTGAAAAAGCGGTGCGGCAATTTGAAGGACAGTTAGGCATTTTAAAGTGGCGGTACAACATTTTGAAGGGGCAGTCAAGCGTTTTAAAGTGGTGGTCTGGCATTTTGAAAAGATCAATTTGTCGTTGTACAATTGCGGTCCAGTGTTTCTTGTTATGATAGGGAAGGGTATTTTAATCAAAAACAATAAATTTTTTGTATTGGGGGTATTTGCTATGAAACATGGTTTTTAGGGGGGAAGTTGCTAGGAAAGTTATGTGGGGGTAATTGATTAGAAAGTCTATTTTGGGGGGTTTTATACATTTTTTCCTTTTATTTATTGCTTAAGAATTTATAAACAAATTTGGGGTTATTGAGAACTACAAATTTGAGGGTTTTATTAGAACTCGAAATTTTTACAAGAGGATCTATTGAGTTGATTACTATTTTTTAGTGACCGTGAGGAAATTCACAAAATTGTGATTGAATGCTTTGTTTTGAATGATGGATCAAATTTTACATTATAGTGTATTGTGTGTTAGCTTTGATACTCTTAAATAGTTTTAGGTATAAATTTGTGAAAGATGAAGCGATATCTTAGGAAAGAGTTGATTTATCTTGTTGATGGTTTGAGTAGCTTAAAGACAAATTTTTGTACTTGATTTATTGTTCAAGTACAGATTTACCTTGAACATTTTGCAAATGCTTGTGGTTTTAGAAGTACATAGGTAATAAATAACTTTATACATACAAGCTTCAATATTTTGGATAGAATAATTCGTGACTAGATTTATTTGAGAGCTCATTTTATATGTAAATTTGTGATCACCTAATTTATGAAAAACCAACATTCCAAGATTGCAAAAGACATTGTTATTTTTATTCCAAGATTGCACTAGGGATTCTAACTTGCATTATATTTTCGATTGTTCAACAACCGATACTATTTTTAATTGTTGAACAACAGAAAATATAACATTTTCGGTTATTGAACATTTGAAAATGTTATATTTTGGAATGTTCAACAACTGAAATTTGGACTGCATATTTGCAGCAAGCTTATGGAATATGCAGTCCAAATTTCGGTGATTGAACATCAAATATAACATTTTCGGATGTTCAACAACCGAAAAATAACAATGCCTATTCTAACCTACATTAGTATTTTCGATTGTTGAACAACCAAAAATGTTATATTTTCGGATGTTCAACAACTGAAAATAACATTTTCGGTTGTTTAGCAACCGAAAATAGCAATGCCTATTCTAACCTGTATTATTATTTTCGGTTGTTGAACAACCGAAAATATAACATTTTCGGTTCATAAACATCCAAAAATATTATATTTTCAGATTTCATTAATCGAAATTTGGACTACGTATTTCCAGCAAGCTTTTGAAATACATAGTCCAAATTTCGGTTGCTGAACATCCGAAAATATAACATTTTTGGATGTTCAACAACAAAAAATGTTATCTTTTTTGTTGTCAACAACCAAAAATAGTAATTATTTACCAAGGAAGCACATAAAAGGTATAAAACAAAAAAATATGAATAGTTTAATTAATGAACCCATAACAATCACAAGTAGAGAGGAAAACAACTTAATTCATGAGCATCAAATGCTATGACATATACCCCACATCGCATCACATAGCATCACATAGCAACATGCGCAACTAAAGCAATGGACAAAATGAATAATTGAAGGTGTTCTAGATACTAAACTCTCCACATAGCAAAATGCATAATTAAAGAAATGGACAATCAGGGAACAATGACTCATTGAGGCTTAGTTCCCAAATACATCAACAAATTCTCAAGCACATCACAAAAATAAACACCATATAACCTGTCATAACACATGTCCAATGTTTAAGTGGACATTGAAAACCATCCATGTCGTAATCCAAAAATTCAGACATCCACAAAAACAAAGTGATCATCCCACAATCTTTCATAAACATCACCTCTTTAAAAAAATACTCCATAATAAACTCAGAAAAAATAAATAGGTATTTAAATCGTTCATGAAAATAAGTAGACAAGATAACTAGATAGTGAAACTAGTCAATCCTACTAACATTTCTAGTCTTCTAGGAATAAAGCCTTTCATTGGTGAATGCAAAAGATAAAAATTTCCTCAACTTCGCTCATTAACAAATAGTACCTAACCAGCTTCATGCTAATAATCAATAAATTAAAATAATTTTCTCCCCGCATCAGAACTTGCCTGCACAATCTTTCAAAATAATTATTATTTGTTTTTCCTAACAGGCCTCACAAGCTCCGAACTTTAATACAGGAACTATGTAAAGTATGTGGATTCATTGTCTCCCCATCTCCCATCATAGACAATAATCATTTTGCATTCCAAATTAACAATTCCCCAAGATCCACCCAAAAAAAACGAGAAAATGGATCAAAGACACTATATCTCCAACATTTAATGGAAAATGAAATTTCATAATCGAATGTGCAAATTGATTCTCAAGCTACTCACATTCCACAAAAGCAGTGATTTAAATCAGGCACCCCAAAAATCCAGTGAATTGGAAATCCGGATTGCCATCTTACTATGAGAAAAAACCAGTCATCCAGCAAAGATTGGGTTCAAATCTCCATTTTACTGTACAAAACCAGTTTTTTTCTAGACTCGACAATTTTTCTATTTA